AATCCTCCACATCTAGTGGCCAAGAGGTCAGGAAAAGAGAGGTCTGGATGAGCCACACTCTCCACCAAGAGTCACAAAGTAATAGTAAAGTTTAGAAAGTAGAAAATACATGGTGATCCTTCAGTCATTGTAGGTGTACCAAGGATCTGACCATCTGATCAACCTGGAGACTTTTAAGCTCTAATCCTGGACAGTTTCCATATAGGACCCTCCCCAGCATAAACAGTTTACATTTTAAATTAATCACTTAAGTAATTGCACAATTATCATTTGCAAGAAATATGCATTTCTGCTATCTCTTAATGCTTTACCAGCTTGACTAACCTCCAGACTTTCAAATGCTACACAGTGGAACAAGAAGATTAACTGACTCCATGTTGCACAGCAAGATATTACAAGAATCCCAAACAGCCATTTGTTCTAACAAAATTTTTAGGCAAACAAATTCTAGCATGTCAACATGTGATTATATGAAGGACTTAACACTAGCATAAAACTACTTAGGCACTTATAGATGTAATTTAACCATTAATAATATACAGATTTTTTTTTCTTTATCATGGTATATAACAAAAACTTAAAAAATTGAAGGTTTTGATTATTTGTGGCTATAAAAGGTTTAAAGGAAGCTGTAAGAGCCCATTTACACCATGCCAGTCCGTTGTGTACATTCAAAGGACATGCATTAACATGCATTGAATTACGGCAGTCCATTCATTTGGATGGGCTGCCAAAGCACCACAACGGACTAAAATCATACCTGCAGCATATTTTTACAATATAGTTCACAATGCAATGAAGGTGCGCAGTGGATATACTTTTGTATGCCATTTAAAATGACATCCCAAAATCACATGCACAATGCATTTGTATAAACGAGCCTTAATGGTTTGGGAGCAATGCTATTTTTCTATTATTTTGTAAAATGTGTACTTTTCTAATGCCTCTTTTATATTCTTTTACTGTTTAGATAATAGTCTCAGAACATTAGTGGTTTTCTACAGCATGACTCCATTGGTCTATAAAGTTATGGATGTTCTCATTACTACATGATTAAGCATTTACCTGTATAATGCTTGCACTACAGAAGAGAGCAGCTCAGGACCACTACTATAAAGAGAGAAAGAAGACCCCCTTTCAATATTATACACTGTCAGCCTTATATCTCTTTTACAATTCATTGGGGTATTAAGTTTCAAATCAATTATTCATTATTTCTTATGAATGTTTTTCTTCCACTTTTTGTAAAATGTAATGTCTGAGCTTTGTCTATAATAAATGTAGCATTGCATTAAACATAAAATATCATTTAAGTCAGATTACTCTTGCCATTTGACGTATATAACAGAATCACTTATGTTTATTGCAAAGTGGGTTTGACAAAATAAGAACTACACTTACAGGTAGCCATCAATAAGCCTGTTGAAAGCTGTAAGAGGATCCAGATGCACTTTACATCTTCCTGTAAAATAAAATATTTACTGAGTGTTGCTATAGCAAGAAGGATGTTTGTTTTTGATTCAGCCATTTGCCACTGTCAGTGCTTCATTGCCAAACTGTAAACTATTTCTCTTGCTAGACTAATATGAGAACTAATTAGCCATCATTTCACCACCCAATCATCAAATTTGGCAATAAACAGACCATTATGGATCAGAAAAGTTTTTATAGCTACTGAGCAACTATAGTCATAACCTACCGAGAAACTAAATCATAATCTTATATTTGATGAAACCAGCAACACAATTTTTGTTTTGTGCACAGGCATGGCTGTATCTAGGATTAATTGCTCATATACACAACAAAGAAGATTGTTTTTGTGGTAAATAGACATGGCCAATATATATATACACTATACTGTCAAAAGTATTGGGACACCCCTCCAAATCATTGGATTCAGTGTTCCAATCACCTCCATAGTCACAGGTGTATAAAATCAAGCACCTAGGCATGCAGACTGCTTCTACAAACATTTGTGAAAGAATGGGTTGCTCTCAGGAGCTCAGTGAATTCAAGCGTGATACCATGATAGGTTTCCACCTATACATTAAGTCCATCCATTAAAATTTCCTTGCTACTAAATATTCCACGGTCAACTGTTATTGGTATTAGAACAAAGTGGAAGCAACTGGGAACAACAGAAACTCAGCCACAAAGTGGTAGGTCATGTAAATTGACAGAGTGGGGTCAGCACATGCTGAAGTGCACAGTGCGCAGAAGTCACCAACTGTCTGCAGAGTCAATAGCTAAAGACCTTCAAACTTCAATGTGGCCTTCAGATTAGCACAACAACAGTGCATAGAGAACTTCATGGAATGGGTTTCCATGGCCGAGCAGCTGCATCCAAGCCTTACATCACCAAGTGCAATGCAAAGCGTCAGATGCAGTGGTGTAAAGCATGCCCCCACTGGACTCTAGAGCAGTGGAAATGTGTTCTCTGGAGTGATGAATCATGCTTCTGTCTGGCAATCTGATGGATGTGTCTGGTTTTGGTGATTGCCAGGAGAACGGTACTTGCCTGACTGCATTGAGCCAAGTGTAAAGTTTGGTGGAGGGGGGATTATGGTGTGGGGCTGTTTTTCAGGGATTGGGCTTGGCCCCTTAGTTCCAGTAAAGGCGTCAGCATACATTCTGGACAATTTCATGCTCCCAACTTTGTGGAAACAGGTTTGTGATGGCCCTTTCCTGTTCCAACATGACTGCGTACCAGTGCACAAAGCAAGGTCTATAAAGATGAGAATGAGCGAGTTTGGGTGGAGGAACTTGACTGTCCTGCAAAGAGTCCTGATCTCAATCCAACAGAACACCTTTGGGATGAATTAGAGTGGAGACTGCAAGCCAGGCCTTCTCATTCGACATCAGTGCCTGGCCCCAAAAATGCACTTCTGGAGGAATGGTCAAACAATCCCATAGACACACTCCAAAACCTTGTGGACAGCCTTCCCAGAAGAGTTGAAGCTGTTATAGCTGCAAAGGGTGGGCCAACTCAAAATTGAACACTGCAGACTAAGACTGGGATGCCATTAAAGTTCATGTGCGTGTAAAGGCAGGAGTCCCAATACTTTTGGCAATATAGTGTATATATACAGTATATATATTTTTTTCCGACTCCAAATCCAAACATCTTGTACTTCTCCTTTTTTTTCTCTTTCTTTTTAATGCCAAGTTCACACTATTGCATAACAGTGATGCATGTTACATCTTGAATGTCACACCTGTACTGTAGCATACTGCAATGTGGTAATGCATGATAATGCATGGTGTATTCCCAAAAAAGGCTTAAATATGATTTTTTTTTGCACTGTGGAGGGCTGATATCCTATTCCAAATAAATAGACTGCCTTAATGCAACTCATGTTAACGCATGACATAATGCACATACATTTTCTTGCATTACCTCACCAGATATGTGTGAACCCAACCTAAATCTTTTCATGTCAAAACAATTCTCCTGGGTATGTTAGGGGTGTGAGCAGGGCATGCTTACCATAAAACACAACAGGCTCATGCTTATAGGTGACAGCTCATTCCTGTATATTTATCAAGCCCACATTTTATTTTATCATCAACAAAAGTAATGCCATTTCTTATAGCCTTATTTACACATTGGCACTAGAGCTCTAAAGTCATAAGGCATTTTTTTTACCCTAAGGCCTTCTATGCATTAAGGTAACAAAAACTTTCAGTGCCTGTTTCTCCCCCTCCTCAAATACTTACCCGAGTCCTGTATTGATACAGCACTGTGCTAGTGTGTAGGATCTTTATTCTCTCTGCTCTCTTACAGGCTTGGCTGAAAGCAAAGGGAGCCATCAGCATTGACAAACTCAATAAGGAGGGAGCAGGAGGCAGGGCCCAGCCACGCTGTGTGTGTCAATAGATGCACAAAGCCTGACCTGGGAGTGAGCCCGCATATGTGCCACCATAGGAAGGGGATTCCTATAGTGGCACACACAGAAGAGTAGGAGCCTAAACCGTTGGTGGGGGACCCCAAAAGAGGAGATTCAGGGCTGCTCTGTGCAGTACGATTGCACAGAGCAGGTAAGAATAAAAAAAAAATATATTTTTAGGAAAAAAAAATTATAACCACTTTAACCACTTGACTTCTGGAAGGTTTTACCCCTTTCATGATCAGAGCATTTCTTTTCTATTCAGCACTGCACTACTTTAAAGTGTTACTAAACCAACAACAGTAAAATCAGTCTGCATAAGCAGTAAAGCATGCTTGTTATACTGATTGTGGAACCTAAGGGGTTAATCCTCAACACTGTATAAAAAACGCTGTTTGAGCCTGACTTTCCTCCCCTTCTTCCAGTGTCCCCCTCTTATCTCCTAATAAGACATCGTTTGGAGACACTCTGCACATGCTCAGTTTGGTGTGTATTGCTAGAGAAGTATGTTTTTCTTGAGAGAGTGTATGAATGTGATCAGCACAGGACCAATCAGCACTGTCCAGACATAGATCAGGGGTTCTGCATCCTCCTAGAGCAAAATGAAAAGCCGTCTTACAAGCTTTAACATGTCCTCGGCTGGACACTGATAGAAGTCACAAGACTGCTCTAACAGCTGATGAGAAAAGGTATTTAGCAGTTTATATTTACTAAAATAATTGCATTTCCATGTTCTATGTACTGTGGGAGACCAGATATAGTGAATACAGGATCCTGGGTTTAGTAACACTTTAACTAGAAATTTCTCAGTTATGCAACACTTTACCTGAATTAAATGTATATCACTTTTTTTCACACACATAGAGATTTCTTTTGGTAGAATTTAATCACCACTGGATTTTTATTTTTATCATATCAATGAAAAAAGACCGACAATTTTGAAAAACAATTATATTATCTACTTTCTGTTATAAAACATGTCCAATAGAAAAGAAAAACAAAAAGTCAAATTTCTGCTAGGCCAAAATGTTTTCTGCTACATGTCTTTGGTAAAAAAAAAATCCCAATATGTGTATAATTATTGGTTTGTATGAAAGTCATAGTGTCTACAAACCAGGGGCGGACTGACCATTTGGAAACTCGGGCACTGCCCAAGGGCCCGGGGTCAGTAGGGGGCCCCATGAGATGCCCCTGGTACCTTTTTCATAGGCTTTTTTGAGTTTGGGCAAAGACACAGGGGCCCCATGATCCCCTATTGCCTGGGGGCCCCATGAGTTGTCAATCCGCTCCTGCTACAAACTATGGTATGTACAATGGGATTTACGCAGCTATGATGCTATACCAGTAATGGCAGTGATCAGCGACTTATAGTGGGACTGTGATAGTGTGACAGCCAATCTGGCATTAGCTGATACTGCCTGGAAGGTACACTGACACTGACATCAATAGTGACATTAATACAGAGATCAGTCCTAATACTATACAGTGTACACTGTACTAATGGCACTGGCTGGGAAGGTGTTAACATCAAGGGGCAATAAAATGGTTAACTGTGTACCTAACAAGTGTAATGTGTGTGATATATGGTGCTTTTACTTACAGATCTAGCTGTTTTTTCTCCCTGCATTGCAGATTGCTGTGTGTGTTTGTAAACACAGGGCTCTGTGCTGTGACTGGCTACAGCCAATCAGCATATCTCAGCCATAAATCATTGGCTGGGACCTGTGACAAAATCCTGATATAGCCAGTGACAGCGGGGGTTAGCAGCGGGTGAGTGCATGCACGCCTCTAACCCAGAACAGGCTGGATGAGCTAAATGGACGTGATCCAGCCTGCCCATGCCACCCACCCGTTGTAAATGTACTGTTGAGGGCCCAAGCAGTTAAACCAATAAACCAAAATACTATACTGCCTAAATAAAGCAATCATAGAATAAGGTTACTACAGCACATTTACTTGAAGTAAATATTGTAGTATAGCATAATGTCCTTCCATACAAGTTAGCCATCATGGCACAGGTTACAAACACCAGGTACAAGTGAAAAGTATAATAACATAAAAGGGCATCAAAGTACCAGTTTTCTAGAATGCAAGAAACTTTTGGCATACAGTACATACTTAACATTGGTCATTCAGCACACTGAACCTGCCACCACTCTTCTCACTTGCCAAATGCAGTGATAGCCTACATCTAGACTGATCTGTAACTAAATATGCAGGGGGTTCACAGAGGAATCACTTGGTTTCTTGAGCCAGTATTATACACAATTCGGTTATAAACAGCAGCATAGGTAGTTTCTAAATAAACAGTCAGTTAAATGTATTGTGTATACTCCTATTTATCGTGTTGCTCCCCTATCTCATATTTGTCCTAGTAGCTTGTTAACACTTTTATATGCTTTCCACATAAACAATAACAATTATCCCCCATAAATAAGAGCAGTGCTACAAAGCAAAGCCTTTCAAAAATTAAATATCATTGTCTTGTTTTCATCAGAGACTTTATTTTGTGTCACACAGAGGGAGTGGTGTATGTATTGCAGTGCCTTTGTGGGCTGTAAAATGTAGGGACCACAAACAGACCTGTATCCAAAAGAATAAGAGAACATATTTACAACATCACTTTGGATGTCAATAAGCACAATGTTTCAAAACACTATACTAAGTGTAATAATGAAGATCCAAAAGGAGACCAGTTCTTGGGAATAGAGAAGTATAGGAAGCAATGGAAGGGGATCAATAAAATTAAAGAATTGAGTTAAACTAAAAGGAATCTACAAATTAAAAATCATTAGCACCAAAGGGACTTAATATAGAGTTCAACGTGAACCTTTATTCATAGTTTAGCAATGGGGATGCTTTGAGTGTACTTTTGCAAAATATACACTAGATGCTGGTAATATACATAACAGCATATTGATAGTGTAATTAATTCACATTATATTAAAGGATAACTTAACCTCTGACAAAAAATAATAAATGCACATTTTTTTGCAGGTAAAAATATGTGCATTTATTATTTTTTTTGCATGATCCTGTAAAGCAATGCACCAGCAATCAGCACCAGCTGGTGCCATGCAGGTCTCCTGCAGACCTGTCAGTATATCTGCTTGCCCATACTGGATGCTGTCAGTACACTGTTTACACTGATAATCAGGGCACTGATCATCAGTGCTCTGATAATCAGTGAAGCCCCATCAGTGCCAATCAGTGCCTATCAGAGCAGATCAGAGCAGCTTATCAGTGCCCATTAGTGCAGGTTATCAGTGCCCATCAGTGCAGTCTCATCAGTGCCACCTCATCAGTGCCGCCTCATCAGTACCCATTAGTGCAGTTTATCAGTGCCATTTAATCAGTGTCCATCAGTGCTGCCCCATCAGTGCCACCTAATCAGTGTCCTTCAATGCTGCCTCATCAGTGCAGCCTTATCATATCAGCCTCATCAGTGCACATCAGTGCAGTTCATCAGTGCCTATCCGTGCAGCCTATTAGTGCCCATCAGTATGGCCTCATCAGCGCACATCAGTAAAGAAGACAAAAATTACTTATTTGTAAAATGTTTTAACAGAAACTAAGAAAAACATGTTTTTTCAAAATTATTATCAGTCTTTTTTAATTTGTTTAGCAAAAAATAAAAAACCCGGTGGGGATTAAATACCACCAAAATAAAGCTCTATCTGTCTCAAAAAAAATAATTTTCATTCAAAATGCAACAGCACTGAAAGCTGAAAATGGTCTGAGCAGGAATGGGGTGAAAGTGTCCAGTATTGAAGTTTTTAAATATAGGTTTTTGTTGAGTTTCTTTTAAAAACTGTTTTTTGATAGGCAGTTTCAAAATACTTATAATATCTAAACATTTTAATAGAAGTAGTATTTATGAACACTGGTTATGTAGTGCTATCAAAATGGTGCTAGGATAACCTTGGTAAAAATACACACAGGGACTAATAAACCCGATCCTGAGCCTCTGATGATGTCCCGTGATGTGATGTAACATGTAAGGCTGAGCTGGGTGACATCATCATGTTGTTTCACAAAGTAACCTGTATACAACAGGAGACAGTGGCTCTATTCATTTTTAATGCTATTGCGCTTTACTTGTGTGCCTTGAGGTTTGGTGCACATATGAGTGGTATTTTAATTTTTTTTTTTAAATACTGTTGGTTTTATGGATGCACTATGAGAGTTATTCATGTTTCACCTTGTGTAACAAAACTTATAAAGCCGATACAGAGCAGGAAAGGTGGATGATATGATTCAGGCCTTAACAGGAAAGGATCAGTTTGACCTCAATAACATACAAGTCAATATATTAAGGTAAGAGCACAGCCTGGGAAGAGAGTGACCACAAGGTGATGGACCGAGTAAATTGCAGGGAGTTATGTATACTTCCCTTGCTTTGAAAATGGAACACTCTATTTTCCTTAGTAAATCAACTGTTAAATCTCCCATTTCTTTTACATTCGGAAAGAACTTATGCTATTTACAGCAGCTTCATAGCAATTGTCCACCTTCTTAACTTCTAACATCCAGATACATCTTAATGGAAATTAATGATTTCTTTTCTTTTTTTTATGATAGTTTTTCAAATTCCATTAATAATGAACTGAGTTTTATCTCCCAGGTGCTTGTTTTTTTAACGTAATCCTGAATTTGCCTGTAAGAAAATTAAAATTTATCTGGTGAGCCAAATATCTTTTAATTTATTAAAGGAGATCAGCTTACTATTATTCTCCTTTAACCAGGGGTTTCCCAACAAAGGATGTAAAAAGGATGTCTTTAACAGTTCCCAAGCTTTTAATGTGTCTACAAAATAAAATTATTTATTAGAGGACTTCATATTTCCCTTTTTTTTTTAGCATGCAGTAGAAAAAACACTGCCAGGCCCTTTGTAGATGCTCCTCTAACTCAACTTCCAAAAATAATTATTTCCTAGTAGCCATGCAAATGAAAGCCTAATTAATGATGTGATATTATACTTGCTATATGTTCAGTAACGTCTTGCCTGTTTTAGACCCCATATTATTTTTTTTAATGTATCCTAGCTCTTTTTCCTTTCCCAATGAATTAGCAAATTCCTTTCTCTACTTTAATGGCCTGCTTTGACAATAAGATGGGTAAAGATTGAGTTAAAAACTCAACTCCGTTGATTTGAAAATTATCCCTTGCAGTGGGGCTGCACTCACATTCCATTGTTTAATTACATGGTTAGTCTAGGGAAGAGTAAAAGTGCTTTAATTACTGATCTTACACTTCCCCATCGTGTGGTGCTCTTTAATGCTCTGGCAGTAGACTGTCCCTCAGTGTCATCACAGCAGTATCCTATCCTTTATATTGTTTATTTTATCTTGGCAATACCTTTTTCTTATACTAGCTCTGAGAGATGCTGATGAACTCTGCCTCACATCAGCAAATGCAAATCACCTTGCATACCAGATCTATCCAAAATGGTGGCTGAAACTCATGGATACAGTCACTTCCTATATACTTTGCTGCATGGTACTTTCTGTCTAGTGTTATGCATTGCAATCAGCACTATAGAATTTATGTGGTCATAATTTTAGATAATCCACATCAAAACTGTAAGTGTAATTTATCACACTTCTCTAATATATATGGGTATATTACCTTTACCCATATGTAACATAAGAGATTAGAGAAAAAAAATAAAAAAATAAATTTAGCCTGCAGCTTAGTTTTAAAGCATTTATTGGAACCACAGAACAGTAGATGACACACACAAGTTAAGCAATTACAGAAAGGGTATACAGTATACACATACTACAAATACCACACTTGAAAATACCTACATAAATATGTAAATGACTAATCACCTTGGTGAATGACCAATCAGCAAGATATAACTAAACACACTGAGGTTGATTTACTAAAATTTGAGAGTGCAAAATCTGGTGCAGCTGTGCATGGTAGCCAGTCAGCTTCTAACTGCAGCTTGTTCAATTAAGCTTTAACAAAAAAACCTGGAATACATGTAAACATCAACCAAGCAGTCCTAATCATCTATGCACAAAGGGGTTTATTTACTAAAGCTGGAGAGTCCAAAATCAGACTCCCTTCTGCATAGAAACCAATCAGCTTCTAACCTCAGCTTGTTCAATGAAGCTTTGGCAATGAAACCTGGAAGCTGATTGGTTTCTATGCAGAAGGGAGTCTGATTTTGGACTCTCCAGCTTTAGTAAATAAACCCAAAGAGTCTGATGATGGAAACATATCTCTTGTGGTCAAAGAAGGAATAACTAGCCACATAGTTTGCAATTACCACTGTTTTTTGTGCTCCTTACAAATAGTACTGTTTGGAATCAGAACCACTTTATGTTGCATTGGCCCTTTCATTTTTTTACTACAATAATTTAAAGCATTTGGGATATGACTAAGTAGAGATAAAAGTCGACTGCCGGGGACATAGAAAATTACATTCCCAGCTCTGTTTGTAGAATTATTCATTTGATGCCTTTCCAGGTTCTCATGGTTACACAAGATAGCATGATGTTATGTCTACTTGAACCCCTAAAAAAAATTATTGGAGCAAATACTGTGAGGCTGAATGGTGTTTAAATGGAAAGCAAAGATTTCAAAATCGTCACTATATGGAATTTCTCTGTCACAAATGCAGATCATTTGTAAAGATAATGTCCCTAATGTTATTAAACAACACCCTATTCTGTGTCTTATATATCATCAAATAACATTGTTATCATAAGGATGAAAAAGGACCGCTAATATTATTGTGTGCTTTTTGCAGTGGCACATGCATGCACTAAATAGGTATTGAGATATGTATTTCTATATTTCATAATTGGTATATTTATTTCTTAGATGGAGCTGTGCTATAAGCCAGCAGTTCTAGATGCTCAACACGCCACAGAGATATACAAGAATATTTCCTTTGGTTTAATTAACCACTTGGCGACCCCCCACAATAATTTTACTGTGGGTGGGCGGCACGTGCAGACACATTCACTTACATGTACGTCACCATGCCTGCTGCAGTTTAGGAGTGCATTGCTTGCCTCCCATAACCACTGTGTCCGATTGTGACTCCTGGTTCTGGGCTGCTTTGAGCTGCATGTAGATCATTCATACCAGCTCTGCTTCCTATACCAGTGAGCTGTGATTGTCCCACAGTTATCACATGGCACCTGGGCTAATCACAGCACCCTGTACCATGTAATTAGCTGTCCAAAAGCATTGCTGTTACAATGATCATCATTGTAACAGCAATCAAAGTGTAAAGAAAAAAAATCTCCAATGACCCTCCAGAGTAGTACAGTGTTACTATGGTGACACTACTCTGATGAAAGTAAGTAAAAAAAATAGTAAAAAAAAAGTTTAGAAATTGTTATTAAAAAAAGTAAAACTTTTTTTTAGGTTTTTTCTTTTTTTTTTACCTTACTGTCACCAGTAAGAGTCCCTGAACAACACCACACCAGTCATATGATGACACTGTACTGTGCTGGTGACAGTAAGTAAAAGAAAAAAAAAAGTTAAAAAAAATGTTATTTCATTTTTTCATTTTCCAAAAATTATGACAAAATATATTCAATGTATTCACCAAATGGCATCAAAATTAACAGCTTCCGGCTAGGTAGTACACAATGATGTCACAGAGAAAGAAAGGCAAAGCTAAGAACAATCAACCTCCAGAAACGGAAGCCAAACCAAGTCTCAGCCCGGACCCCACACTGGGAACTCCAATTTAGCACATCCCACTCAACAAAGAGCATGAACAGAATGTCAAAACCAAGCCTAATTGTAAAACTAATCACAAACTTAGTAAGATGAAGGTTAAACCAGAAGTAAATATGCCATTATATAGTATATCTTGGATGGTGACCAAAAATATACTAAAGATACTTAGAATAATAGTAAAAAATATTTTTATTAACAGTAACACTATATAAAGTAGAAATAAAAGTGTAACACTTATGCCACCTAAGGTCAAAAAAATAATATGGCAACAAGAGATATTACGGTGATGTAACATCACTAGTGAAACATAATATCATCATAGTAGAAGGTCTCAAAAGTTCTGGCTAATAAACTGCAAAGAAAGGCAGTAATATCAGCCTGTAAATAATACATATACTCAAAATTCATAACATCCTAGCCAAAAAAAATAAATTCAATATAATACTCAATCAAATAAAAATTCCACCCAAAATACACGTGTACAAAAATCATCAAAAATTACATTGTGAGCTACAAAATATCAATAATAGCAAAAGGTAATTCATAAACGTCTCTTAAAATGAAAAATATATAAATAAAATTTA